CGGTACGAAACGAAAGATGGATCGACCAGTATAGCTGACGACGACTGTACACCGGCGTTACGCGTTTGCGACGAGCTTCACTTTAATAATTAACAGAGACAATAACTAATTATTCGGTCTAAGTGGCTCGTAAGTAATCCGAACTATAGCGGCTGAACACGAGTGCGATCGATGCTTTTCGGAAAAAATAATTTCGTGTAGGCACGCAGCGGCCACGATTTTTCGAGGACGATTTTTTGATGCAGTATTTTTGTCCAGTCAGGTCAGTATGCTTTTTCACAACAATTAAAAACGTGACGTCGTGGTTTACACACACACACAGAGAATTTCACTAGATTTTTGGTTTTGCTCGTTTGGCGAGAGCGCCGGCACATTTTTTTGTCGTTGTCCGCAAAGAGAGAGAGAGATTTATCGAAATAGTTTTCGTATGAACACCAGCTTGAACAATGCTCTCGACCATGGCTCTCGTTTTTCTTTACCATTTAGTCACGATAATTAGATGAAACACGCACGGCTTACGAAAGAAACAAAAAAAGCACGAAACAGGGACAGAACCCTACCGATCCTTAACCACTCTGCATCCTGATTAATCTGTGAGTCCTATGATTGAGAAATTTAAGTCCATCGTTTTAAAATGTCGATTTAACTGTACTCTAATTACGTGGCAATTTTGTCGTCTTAATGGTGCACGAAGTACAGTTGATTAACGATGAAACGGATATACGGGAAATTCTCCCTAATTGACCACCTGATTTTATGCGAAAATGGGCAATTTGGGAGGAAGAGATACGATTATTACTCGTTTTTACAGTTTACAGATTGTTAACAATTATAACATTGTTAATTATATAATAGTTAATATGATTATTAATATTTATAATTATTAAATATTATTATTATTAATATATATAATTATGAAATATTATCACTATTAATATTAATATTAATATTAATGGTTATCAATATTATTAATATTAATATAATTAATATCAATAATATTAATAGTGATAATATTATTAATATTAATACTTATTAATATCATTAATATTAATACAATTAACACAAAATTATACATAATTATATAATCGTATCTTCTCTTCCCAAATTGACCATTTTTGTGCACAGTCTAAGCACCAATTAAGGTTAATTTATCATACAGAATGTCGCGTAACTGGTGGTAGAACCTAATAGACTGATTCTACGTAGAAAAACAGGCCCAGAAAAAAGAATAACATTTTCTCATTTAAGGCTTTGTCTTCGAGATAATCGAGTCGAAAGTTGCGCCAAGTTCGCGTGGCTTTTAATACAGCAAGTAGAATCGGTGTGCTATGGTCAGACGCGCCACTTCATTCCTATTCAATAGCATTACTTCTTCGACCCACTTCTTCTCGAAAACGGAGCCTCGAATGAGAAAGTGTTATTCCTTTTCTTCGACTTATTTTTTCACGCAGAATCAGCCACTGTCAAATTGTAGCACCATTTACGCGACACCCTGTATATTGGAATATAAATGTCTGACAAATACGTGGACTCGAGACTTGTCAATTAAACGACTTAAATCGCACCCTGATCAGGGTTTGCGCGATTGAAATTAGACCTGTGACTATCGACACTGTTTTCGATAAATATCGATAATATTGATATTCGATATATCGATGATATCGTCGAGTCGAATTAAATCATCGAAGCTTAGGTGATCGAAGTAAAATAAATAATAATAAAGTATAATCAATTTATTGTTCGATTAAATATTTTTACTTGCATTTTCGTCTATTTCGTTTCGTTCTTCAAACGTCAACAAATTTGATTAATAAAATTATTTTGAAACGTGACGTAACAATTTTTAATTGCGTCTTGAAGTCGCAATTCTAGTGAAAAGAGTTAAATATTCATTTTACAATTTACAGTACGTGAAATAAATCGTCAAGTGTCGATAAGATATCGATACAACGTCGTTAATCGATAGTCACATCTCTAACTGAGACTACGGTGTAAGAAAGAGAGAGACACTGCCATAAAAGTACTCTCATCAGGAAATGAGGTGTTCCTGAGGTCATTTGAAACAACTTTTTCCTTTGCGAAAATGCGATCGGTGGCTTCGTTTACGAGTTATTAACGAAAAACACCGACACCACGCCCTCGCGACCAGCTCTGCTGCGTCAGACGGCCGGCGTGACGTGGCATTGGTCGCTGGGCGGAGCGCCGGCCGCGCTCGCTCTCCGATTGGCCCACGTTTTTCGTTAATAACTCGTAAACGAAGCCTCGGATTGCATTTTCGCAAAGGAAAAAGTTGCTTCAAATGACCTCAGGAACCTTTTATTGTCGCAGAAATTTTGCGGTGAAGCAACCGTGACCGGTGCGCCACTCTCCCTCTTACACCGTGACGAAACGCAGCGAACTAACCGGCTAATAATCATAACTTTCTCATGCGAGAGCTGAAAGCATAAATCATAGTACAGTAATGTCTCCCTAATTCGCGCTCAGATCGCGCACAGAAATGGACAATTCGGGAATAGGAGATACGATTGTTCGAGGCTTGCCACTCGTTTTTATACTTATCGTCCATTCTCGTTCCATTATTAATATTTATTACAATTTATCACAATTATTATAATTAATATTTTAATTATATTGTCACGTTCCATTTTTCTGCGCAATCCGAATTGGGGAGAAATGAAACTGTAACGCCGACGATTCCTTCCGCCTTTTTCTTTGGGGTCGAAACTTGCAGCTAAAACACTAAACCAGAGAAAATCGAGCGCAGAAACCTAATTCGGCAGATCCCCGGCCATACCGCGAACGAATCAAACCAATGATACGCACGGTTTTGATGTCAGGTGTCGTGATCGTTTGTAGATTTTAGAACGTGGTTCGTAGAATGGATTCATTGAGTGACGAATGTGGACGAGCTGACGCTTCTCCATACATTTAGTGATTATGTTGTTATGTGGACTTTTTTGTTTTTGTAGCCGCGCGGACGCTTCTCGACCTGCAAAAGGACCCGTCATAATTAATTAACGATAATCCTATCGAACAATTTCTCTCAAGTAAAAAAAGAAAGGATTCTCCTTCGACCGTTCAAGACTCGTCGCTGGTCCTTTTTCCTCGAAAGTGTCCGCCATTTTGTGACGAGAAAAATCGCGTCGTTCGGAGAAAAATCGACGCGATTCTTCCGTTACACGTCGAACGAAAATTTCAAAAGCGTGTCTCTTTAAGTTTTATTGGCGAATCGTCGGACGCCTCGTGCGTCTATATATGTATACAGGGTGTCCCAGAATTACGGGACGTAAGATTTTATTTTCGGATATCAGATTTCGATTTGATCTCGCAAGGTTATATTTTTAACCTCGGTGAAAATTTCACCGAGAGACTTCTGTGTTCGATTTATCCGAGAAACGCGAGGGACACGCTTTTCGTTGTTGGAACGCGACGCAAAAGAATCTACGCGTCGTTCACGGATTCATAATCCGACGGAGAAACGTTATTTATTGGATCGTGTAATACGAAATGTCGAGTCTCTTGTACCCAGCGAATGCCAACGGGTCTTTTGTCACTTCTTTTTTGAGAGCGAGAAAATGTTTCGGCGATGCCACGAAAGCGGGAAGTTTATTTAATATATTAGTGTAATTGCAGTATAGCTAAATTCTTTTTGTAATATCTTTTTTTGTAATATTGAGAGATTCAAACTGTCATAATATTGTATATTGTATAATATTATTATATTACTATATTATTATAATATTTTCAATATTATATAATATTATTATAATATTTAATATTAAATAATATTATTATATTGCTATATTATTACAATATTCAATATTATATAATATTATTATATTATTATAATATATTATCATAATATTCGAACTACGTTTTGTTGCTAAAATATTTTACAGTTTTTAAAAGGTCCCAAATGGGAATCGTGGCAGTAAATGGATCGATGAAACATTCATTTTAATCTTGACAGAAACGAATATCCTCTGTCTTCGAGTAATCCGACGATTTATTATTATTTTATTACACGACCTAACACACAATGTTCCATGTATACGTGCAATAACCGTGAAAGGCGAAGTCGTCTAATCCGTGGAACGATCAGCGTCGACTTCTATTCGTTGCAGAAAGTCGATCGATTGCATTCGTATGTGAGCCGAGCCGAAGCGACCTCGTTGAAACGAGTAGTAACATTGAAACAATCGATTTCTCGAGCCGGCGATGCGCGAAAGAAAGTGAAACAGACCGAAAGAAGAAACGAAGGAAGGAAGATACTTCGACGCTCTAAAAACAAAAATAAATCCTAAATTTCAATTCGCAAAATTCAAAGCCTTAATTTCAATTTGCAAAGTTCAAAGTCCTAATTTCAATTTGCAAAATTCAAAGTCCTAATTTCAATTCGCAAAATTCAAAGTCCTAATTTCGATTTGCAAAGTTCAAAGTCCTAATTTCAATCTGCAAAATTCAAAGTCCTAATTTCAATCTACAAAATTCAAAGTCCTAATTTCAATTTGCAAAAAGGAAACATCAATAATTTAGTTGCTGACATAATTATTGCACCGCACTGCGTAATACACGAATAAATTGTTTATACTTTATTAAGCTCGTAAATATAGTCAAACGTCAATTAGAAGTCTTCATACGAAATCATTTTGCATAAATAATTATCAACGAATGAAGCATGACGCTTTTATTTCAATTTAAAAATGAACAGAAAACTATCAAAAAGTGTATCTTCCTTCATCGAAAGCGTCCATTTTTCGATTGCCAGCAGTTCAATCTAGATCTCGAAGGCTAATTTATTAATAAAAATGATTGAAAAAAGTATCATTTCCGTGCCTGTTTCACAAAGCGTCGAGCCACCTGGGCCGCAAACGATATATATCGCATGATTCAATGATGTTACGCATCGTCTGCAACGTGTTCGCGGTACACTCACCAATAGGAATGCTCGTTTCATTGCCACGAATTTTTGTTTCATTGCCATAAATATCACGATACAGCGAAACCGTTCGACCCTGAGAAAGCTTGGACCGATCACCTGAACCGCTTGGCAGACATCGACAGAATGTATCCGAGCAAAGCGCCTTTGCTCTCCCGGCATATAAGCCCGCCGCTCAGTACGAAGCGATTGTTCGACATCTACGGTGAGTACCGTCGTTCCTCGTTCCGTGTGTTCATGCGATGAGAATGTAAAATTACATTTTAGTAGTTGTCGACAATTTTAAAAATCGTGAATTATATACTAATTAATGTAATTGTTAATATTTGTGACTATATTAAATAGTGTAATTAATATTAATATAATTAATGTAAAATTGTATGTAATTGTACAATCGGTGATTATATTAATTATGTTAATATTAATAATTTATAATATTTAATAATTATAAATACTAATAATTATATTAATTACTATGTAATATAATTTACGATTTTTATAATTGTTGACAACTACAAAAATGGCGAACATTTTTACAGTGAGAAAAGTTTGATAGAAAAGAATATAAATGGTTATATAAAAGTTAAATTAAATTGTTTATTAAATAATTTAAACTACTTTAAATTATTTAAATTATTTAAAAGTCGCAATCATTCGTTACGGAGAGAATGACGTGTGCACACGTCGCACTTCGTACCATTAACATCGTGATTTAATTTCAGGTAACTTGTTAGACGATTCGCATTTGATACCGTCTCTATCGTCACTGCTTCGCCGGAAGCCGTTGTTCGATCTCCTCGAACCGTCCCCAATGGCGCCCATTAGCGCGTTTACGAGAGACCCATGGTGGTACCCGAGCTACGCTCCCTACATCCCCGGCTACGCTCAAAGGAGCACTCCTTTCTATCTGAGAGACAGTTACCTCAGTCCTGTGAAGCGTAGCTACCTATGGAGCCGACATCCAATCAGGCCTTTCGGTACGTAATCTCACCTTCCGTTCGACGTTTCGAGCCGGGTGCGATCGCCGTTCATTTGAGACGAATAGCCTTCGGATCGTGTTCCCTTGTCGACGATTTTTCGGGGAACAAAGTTCTCAGAGAGCTGCGTACAAAGGGAACGACGCCGTGAAAAGGTTCCCCGGCTCGTTTCGAGCAACTTTTTCCTTTGCGAAAATGCGATCCGCCGCTCCGTTCGCGAGTTATCAGCGAAAAACATGGGCCAATCGGAGAGCGAGCGCGCCGGGCGCTCCGCCCTCGCGGCCATCGCGAGGGCGTGGCCGTGCGCGATCGCTCACTGGCCGGCGTTTTTCGTTGATAACTCGTAAACGAAGCCTCGGAGAGAATTTTTGCAAAGGAAAAAGTTGCTCCAAATGATCTCGGCTACCCTTACGGCCGCATTACGAGACATTTTTGGGAGATATTCTTCTCGGATGGAGCGCAAGAATTGCGCGCTGCCTGCGCGACAACGACCGAAGGATTTTTCAAGGATCTTTCTCGGCGCAGTTCGACTTCCTTCTAGGAAATCGGTTTCTCAATGAATCTCAATGAATGCGGCGTTGCGTCAAGAACGGTCTAAAATACGCCGATCGATTTAGCGCGATAAATTTCACAACGCGCGCAATTATACAACATCCGTAAACCGAGCCGAGCTCGTTGCGAAATCTATTGGCCTCTAAAAACGTGGGATGACGCGCGCGGATCGAGCTTCCGTTAAATTTCGCTGATATAAAGTAAACTCACCGGCGAGTCGACGTTCGCAAAGGAGAAATCGCGAATTATTGCACGATAATTTACTGGCTCGAACCGCGCTATTTTGCATCCGGATTCGACGAGACGCGGTTGAATTGTTGTTAATGCCGACACTTTTTGCAACAACAACAACAAGCACGCTTTCGCGATTATTTCGAGATCTCCTGACGAAATCCGTTCGGCCGCGGAACGCTCGATTGTGCAACAATCAGGCTTGCAACCCGAAGGAAAAAATAAAAAAAGTTTGGCATTATCTGAACATCTGCTTGATCGTTGGCTCGGGCGCAGATATTGTTGTTCTCTTCAGCTGAAACCGGAAAGCTTGGACGATGATCCAAGCCAACTGTGATTCCGCGTTTCTGGCAGTTTCGGCCGATCAATTTACGTCGACGTCGCGCGCTTTCTTCCGTTGAAAAGCAGTGTCGATCGACGATGCCGTCATCGTAGCATTCATCCTCGGATTTAATCTACGAATAATTTGTGAATTTGTTCGTGGATAAACGACGGAGCATCTCGAAATAATTGTCCGTATAATTAATAATAATTTCCGCGCGAAACGCGCTCGGCCGCGCGGAATATTTCCGACGATTTCCGATTTCAACATTCAACATGTTGAATTCGTAAAGCTCCTGCACAATGTTACCGCTGACTTCGCCGAGTTCGTTGTTGCCTTCGCCGTTTGCCGGCTTCCCGTTTAGAAGCCATTTAGTTGCTGGATTATTCGCTCAACACTGTGCGAGCTCGCGGGTCACGTGCTGGCCGCGGTCAGCGCGTCTGCGGAGTATTCGCGTCCGAAAAGTGGACGAAATCTATGATAATGCAGATTTTTTATTTTGTTGTTTTATTTAGGTTTGGTCGGATATTTTTTAGTGTAAATATAGTCGAAACGAAGTCGTAGTTTTGAACTTTTTTTCTTGTGAGAGATAGTGAAGATGGGAAACTTCCCTTGTAACAGCAAGTAGCACTCAGTAGCAGTCGATTCCTTTTTCACAGTAAAGACAAAACTTCGTTATTTACAACAAGCTCAAAATGAACGTCGGATCTCGTTGGATTCGCATTTGAAAAATAAATTTAAAACAGAAGATATGCTAAATTAGCTAAATCTCAAAGTGAATCAAAAATATAAAAATATAGCTTTGATATATTATTTTTTAATGCTATAAAAACCAGTAGAAAACTGTAAACGATAATCTTAATTTTCAATCATTTTGTAACTGTGTTCAAAATTAAGAAATGACGAAAAAAAAGAGTTCTGTTAACTATAGGTAAGAAATTGTTCACTTTATACGACTTTATAACATTATAAAAAGACTTTCGTCCGATTTTTGGGCGCGAATACCTCCCCCCCTCCCCCAAAGCGAAAAAATTCGGCGGCTTTTCGAAACAGCAAACACGAGATTTTGAGATCGGCTACAGAGTCCGATCGAGCCGGACATTAAAAAAAAAAAAAGAAAGAGAAAAAGAAAAAGAACGAAAAAACCAGCCGAATAAAATTGAAATTCATCCACGATGAGACAAATTGATGTTTGGTACACGAATTGTGTCTGTTGTATTTCAGGATCGTTATACTACTATTATTCGCAGCCAGTTCCAGTATTTCACTTTACCCGTCCGTGGTACAATAAACGTACCACATATTAAGAAACAAAACAAAAGTGAGCGACAAGATTGAAATGTGGTCGAGTGTTCTTTTCACCCCCCTCCATCGCATCATCCTCCAATTTTTATACTCGTTAATTCTGTGAAATAATCATAATTTCGAAACAAAGCCGACACCATAATTGATGTACATATTATACATATACATATTACATATTACATATATCTATATATCTGGCTGCAACGAGATGCATTCGATGATTAACACGCATCTATACGTAACAAACATTAATTAATCAAAGGGAGAAGAGGATCGGAATCGCCGTTCGTAGAACAGCCCGATATAATACGAACGATAATTAAGGTCTCATCATTATAAAAATTCACTCGCAATCATTCATTTGCGAAGGGTTGACAACCATTTACGCCCAAACAGCGCCGCACTGCTGTCTGCATTTTGTACGTGACTGACTTACGCTGGAGACAGAAAGTTTAAACAACTGCAAACTCCCCATTTTCAAACAAAATTTATTATTATTATTATGAATAATAATTAATTAATTAATTAATTATAAAACTATTTACTGGTAATATTAATTAATTAATCATTACATTATTTATTGGTATCAATCCTTAATTAGTTAACTATTAAATTATTTATTATTATTATTATTAATCATGAATTAGTTATTAAATTATGAATCATTATTACATAAATAATTGGTTATTATTATTAATAATTGATTAATTAATTACTATTAAATTATTAATAAAACTACCGTCTTTCAGTAACCGTTAAACAGTTAATATTGATACAACTGATACGAAACTTTCTGTCGCCCCAGTGTATCCACCATGTCCTCTAATAGGTATTTTATTTTGAAAGGTGTTACTCTATGTTCATTTTCGCTCGACTAATATGTATATACACACGTGTAAATATCAAGGGAGAACCGGCCCTGGCGAACAGAAGCCCCCCTCCGGAGATTTTGAATGGCGCCCCTCTACACGACTCCGTTTTTCGCGGGGCACAGCTCCGCTCGTTCAGTTTTGTGTTTGCAGACGATGTTGAAACATTCATAACGCTAGCTTTTGACACACGAGAGATCTCCTTGCGTAGACAACACTGAGCCCCGGTTGACCACACACACACGTGCATCCCTGTGATAAGACACGCGTCCCCCATATGTGTTTCACGAAGCTTCGAGAGTCTCGTTCGCTACTTTCGATTCTACATATGTACATAACAAGCTCGACTGTTTTCCCCTCAAATTTACAGCAAGACGAAACTCTCGAAGCTTTCGATCGTTCTGTTTATCCATTTTATACAGGCTCTCCCAAAATTATGGCATTTCCGAGAAGTGAGGGATTCCTGAGGTGATTTGAAGCAACTTTTTCCTTTACAGAAATGTTCTCCGAGGCTTCGTTCACGAGTTATCAATGAAAAACACTGACGCCACGCCCTCGCGACCATCGCCGCTGCGTCAGACAGCCGGCGCGACACGGACATTGGCCGCTAGGGCGGGGCGCCGGCCTCGCTCGCTCTCCGATTGGCCCACGTTTTTCGTTAATAACTCGTAAACGAAGCCGCGGATCGCATTTTCACAAAGGAAAAAGTTGCTTGAAATGAGCTCAGGAACCTCTCACTTCTCGGAAATATCATAATTTTGGGACACGCTGTATATGTATCGTATGTATTCGTCGATTGTGACTTTTTCAGTTTGATCCAACGATCGGTCTGTTTTGCAGCTCACGTCTACTGATGACCGTGTCGCCCCGTGTCGCATGGAACGCGCGATACGTCACGAACCGATGAAAAAAGCTGAGTAAAAACACGTAAAAAGAATTGCAAAAAAACAAAAACAGATATGACAGAGTATACGCATCGTATCCCGAAGAACAGCGCGACACCCGTCGCCCGACGCTATGCCTTTTCTTTCTCGCAGTGCGTACCGTCGTCCATGATGTCTTATTTATTAACGTTAATCGCCACCATGGTTTATTGTACTCTTCATTCGTGCTGTCTACGAATATAATAAAACACTGCCCAAATTTTACCACGAGACTACAAACGTTATTACGAAGATCCTCGCGCTCGCCTTGTCAAGCTATGTTATATTCCTACAACGGTGTATGTAAAATATTATATAAACTATTATATATAGTATAAAATATAACATATAATATATATAATATTATATAATGTAAATAATATTGTTATATGTATTATTATAACATACATTATTATGTATATTATTATAATATATATTATTATGTATATATTATTATAATATACATAAACCAATTGTGCTCCTCGTATCGCATTTCTATTAATATTATTAATATTTATAATTATTAAATGTTATAATTATCAATATTATCAATATTAATATAACGATTAAATATTATAATCATTAATATTGTCAACATTAATACAATTAATATAATGATTAAGTATTATAATCATTAATATTATCAGCATTAATATAAAATATTAATTAATTATAATTAATTTTAATTAATTATAAAATTATATAATAAATTAACATAAAAT